CAAATAATCCAATTGCAAACCCCCCTCCCTTATTCCCTATAGAGGATTTACACTAAAATCCTACAACAGGGACATTTAACCAGATTAGGTAGCAACAAAGATAAAGAGGCTAGTATTAGATGACGAATGGATTAGAGTCAAGTTTCATTTTAGAATGTGTCTTCATTCCCTTTTATTACTTTAAGTAAGGAACAATTTGCATTAACATCAAGTAAAAGGAATCACATTAAAAGAATCCGGGACAGAGCAGTGGTGCCCCTAAGCGCCACCTCAGTCCAGGAGATGTCAGAGTGTTCACTATTATCCTCATTCAAGAAGAGCAATGGCAAATCTAGAAGGGGGTAAATTATTTCAGCACATACCAGTAATCCTGTATTTTTATGCCCCCCCCCCAAATGTGTTCCTAAGAATCTCCTTTCAATTGTTTCATGCCCCTTTTTTTACTAACCATTTTTAGAAATCTATGCATGAGGTAGTGGTTTTTTTTTCATGATTTATAATAGGAAAAACAGAGGGCAGAAGGAGAGGGTTGTAATATCCTGGGGGGAAAACCAGTTAAAATTTTGACACTGAATCACTAAACGGCCTCAGTGAAGTCTCTCTTCATCTCTCTCCATCTGTAAAACAGCAATAAATACAATCTGCAGTGTAAATCTGTGCACATTTATTTTAGAAGTAAATCCTACCATTCATTGGTTTTTACTCCCAGGTAAATGTGTACAGGATTGCTGCCATAGTGTCTTGTTAAGAACAGGGCAACAAAGACAGTAACTGCACTTTTTATTGGTCTTGTTCTATAAGCCATTTTGGAAGCACTGCCAAGAAGTTAGGTAAAAAAGCCTCTGAATCAATGTAGCAAGTGACACGTTAATGAACAACCTGAATTAAAGAAATATGGGGTGGGGAAATGCCTAGAAATCTCATTTAAAATTCCTGTTCAAAAGTTCTAATGAAGTCAAGTATTTTTAGGATCTATCATCCTTCAAGAAAAATGTATTTTTATATCTGTATTGATCAATTTCATCCATGGGACTCCAAGATATCAGAAGAAAAATAATTATAGTTTAATAAACCTTCTGGTAGCAAAGAATCTTTTAGTATTAATACTCTCTCTTCCACAAACTTTGTTGAAAGAAATATATTTGTGAATTTCTGCTTCCTTCCTTCCTTGTCCCTTTATTCTATACATGCTTACAGGAGTTTGGTATAAGATGCTAAGAGTATAAGCAATTGTGAAGCTTTTAAGCTCCAGCCAACCACCCATAAGGTGGAAATACTGCATGCATACTACACAGAAATCTTACAGCTCATTCTAGTCCACTGACCAGGGGTGTGCACATTAAAAAAAAAATAGACTAATTTGTGCTCCATATTTGAGAAGCTCCAGCTTTTTTGTTATCCCAGATTTTCAGGACTCTCTTAATAATTTTGAGGGTTTTTTTTCCAAGTCCATAAAATTCAGCACCATTTTAGCAGTTCTGTCCATTCACCCCCTCCAGGACAGCAGGAGTAGGAATGGACAGGAAGCTGGTCTCGCCAAACACGTGTTTGGTAGGGTCTTCTCTTTAAATTTTAAAGGTTCATTATTTTCTACGTGAAGACCTTGTCTCTAAAATCAAAGTCCAGACCCTACAGAATATAATGGCCCTTTAATATTTCAAGGAACTGGAGATGCTGACTCATCGGTGATTGGGTAGTCTTGGGTGATAACCCACAGAAAATAGTGGAGCCATTTCACATAGACTGTAGAGAGACTGGGTCACTGATTCTGGAGACCAAGTCTTATCATAGAAAATAATGACCCTTTAAAATTTAAAAAGAGGGAGACCCCAAAGAGCTGTTTGGCAGACCAGCTGTTGTGGAGCTGGGTGCCCCAAACCAAAAACATTCCTGAAACTCTGGGACATATATTTTCATTACTCCTGGAATCTCCTGGTTTAATTTCACCTGGGGTATATTTGAATGCACACCCGTTCCATAGATCACACCTCCTTTCAATGACACCCATGACTGCCATGGGTAACAACATGAAGACAGGGTCTTTGTCTTGACCAGCAAAAATATTTCACAAAGAATGTCCTACCACTGTTTTATTGTATGGAGAAACCAGGAAAGGTATAATCCAATGCTGGAAACTCTGTTATGGGTTGACACAGTTGATTCTTCACAGTTGAAACAAGATGGCTTGGATGCTAAAGGAAAACTGTGATGCCACCTTCCAAAGTGCTCTGAAGGATCACAGTAAGGTAGTATGAGAAAAAACGATGCACAAATACATTATTGCCAAAGAAACAGTGTGAAGTTGATCTTGTAGATCTTTATCTTGGGTAGTACTGTTTCATTCAAGAGGTGCCCTGAAAATACTGCTTATGATGGAGAGCTTATAGTACGTACATGATTGGAGATCTTTCCCCCGTACCCCAATCTAAATCCTCTCCCAGAAGCTGCTGTTTATACTACAGGGTGATTTAGATTAGCAAATCAGCACATTGAGAGAGTTCAACATGTTGCCCCATTGACCCATTTCTGGCCCCCTACCAGCTTTGAACTTAAATAACAACAACCAGGAGATTCAATAATGGACTGTAAAATTATTGTCTCCCTGTTCTGGTCAATAAGATAAGATGAGCACACCGACTTTTATGCCGCATATCAGAAACAATAGCATTGTGCCACAACTTCAGGCAGATAAACCTGTGCAAATCTTCAGGAAGAAAGTGTTGAGATCTAGATTGTTAGCAGATAATGAAACAACTACTCTGCAAATGAAATGACTTATTTGTTTCCCTTTTGCTCTCATGCTATTCTGAGTTCTGACATGCCATTCCCAATACCTAGAATTATGTCCAATTGTCACTGCAAAAATGTGTTCTTGCTGATTCCTCTTATATCTCATACTTTTTAACACTCCTAGTGAAACTCCACAGCTCTAATTTCTCCTACAGAATTTACCATGGTTTATTTATTCCCCCTCTCCTATCAAAAGCTCATTTATCCCTTATTTGCTCTATTCCCCTTACTTCCTCTACATCTGAATTCAAGTATCAGGCTTTTGGTTAGAAGCCTATATTGCTTCAAGTGTTGTGCTACTGCTGGTGTTAAAATCCATGTTATGTAGTAGTAAAAACATTATTATACATAATTAAAACTAACCAATCTATATTAAATTATCAAGCTCTCTCTCTTTGAAGTTTCAATTAAGTTTTTGTTGCTAATATAAAGGCATATCTGCTGAAGGAGGAAGGATGGGCAAAGACATCTATGCTTAGTTTAAATATAGCCAATAATGTGCATGAGGAAGGTGCAAACAATTTTGGAAGCACTTCTGGTTGTGTAACAAACAAGGCTGGCTTTAAAAGTAGAATTATGGAATTATATTAAATAAGCTTTCTTGAGGGGAAAAAGCACAGGAGACTATTAGTAATGTGAGTGATGAGAAGAAGATTAATCCTGCATTTGCTTTTCTCTTTGAAGTGAATAGGGGTTTTGCCTCAGTAAGAAGAGCAGTC